GATGGTCTTTTGTTTCTTCTAAATGTCCCAGTCCTCATGGGATAATTAAATATGACCCAAAAGCAAGATAAAGTTGAAGAGGGTTTTCTTCCCCAGATATGCAGCCTTGATTTGTACTACTGTCTTCCAATTTCCTTTTTAAATTTTCAAAAATAACATATGAGTCTTAAAACTTATTTAATTTAAAATGACTCTTTTAAAAAAAAAGAAAACACTGTGGTGGGATGCTGGGATTGCATTCATCCCAGCATGCCCCACCACTGTTCTTTGGACGGCAATCACAGGACCCAGACATCAAGCTGTGGAGGAGATTCTTCCAAGCAACAGCATCTGGCTCTTTGGCAAACTGAACAGGCAGTTGCCCTGGTGGCTTTGGAGTTGCCTCTGGGTCTGTCACAGGGTAAGGCTGCTGATGGAGTGTCTGGATTCTCATCTCCTTCTCCTTTCACCATCTTTCTCATCCACCCTTTTTGGCATCAAGAGACCCATGAACTTCCATAAAGCAAATACTGCCCTCCTTACGTCGAATGAATTTCTACATTAACCCTGTTGCACTTCACGAAGTATTCCTGTGTATTGCCCACATCCCTTACGAAAGTGTAAAAACAGGCAAGCATTCTGGCAGCAGCAACACAAGCATTCTAGTTCGCACCCCACCTGCAGAGAGAATCAAAAATTAAATGTTCTATTTTCAGTCCTGGGTATTTTAGGCCTGCATTTTCACCTTCCTTACTTGCAATAGATCTCTTTGCCAGTTAAATTTAATAAAGTCATATTTATAATATGAATAGCTACCTAATCTCGTGGAAATTTTTTTTTTCCATTCCCAAGAATTCAATCTAAGCTGACATGGTAGTATAAAGACTATAGGGGCTTAGTTAGAAGAATTTATGGCACTTTAAAATCACAAGTGCAATCCCTGGAACAAACAAACAAACACCTTGAACACAAGAATCCACACCTCTAGAACAAAAGGGCTTTCATATCCTCTTAGCTGTACAGGAAATTAAAAAGACCAAATTTGGAAAGCAAAGAATGTATTTTTGGATGTTTTTAGAATATTAAAAAAAAACCCTCCAAATACTTTGTATCAAAGGTATTAATGAATATGGTCTCTCTACAGACCACAGACCATATGCATGGGTGCCATGACCCTCAAATTATACTCAAAAGATAAAATAATTACTGGTGAAGAGATGGTTCAAAGACTCTAGTGGGTCTAGATAGACATAGATCAGTAAGATTGCTTTATAAAAGATAGTATTTAATTCCTCCCTGTTAGAGGTCACCAGAGAAAAAGGAGGCTTTATACACTAGCCACTTCTATGGAGACTTAGTTCTAATCTATCACTTGATCACATTCAATAACTCCATCAGCGACCAATGAAAAAAATCCATGGTAGTGTCTGTTTTATGGATGGAGGGCAAATTAAAAAAAGGGGCAGAAAGTCTTCTTAGGAAAGACTATATTTGAGTGTAAGTTGTTACTTTGGAAATCATAGATTCACAAAGAAATAAGACCCATCAAATTCAAGGACTCACAAGTAGTCAAAGCTAAAATGTTCAAAAACAAATAAGTATACAATAATTATGTTGAGCCAAGAAAAAAGACTTAAAAGGCAACTGGTATTCATAATCATGTCAAATACTTTTTGTTGCATTCTGTTAGGAATAAGATAAACATGTAACAATGCCACACATATCTGTATCTTTTAGATATTGGCTAAAAGAATAGAGAATTAAATCTCAAGGTTATTCCTATCTAAAAAAATCATCTGCTGGAGAGCACATAATCTATCTAAACATAAAATAAAATGTACACTCAGTTACCTTCTGATTTTATGTTTTAGAAACAAATTTGAACATTAAGAGACATCTACTTTTGTCAGTGAACGCAAACAACTCCTACAGTTTTCCCTTGGAACACTGCTGTGGATGATCAACATAAGTACTTACAATCTTGAGCAACTGACAAATCCCTCCATGCTTAATTTTTGTCCGCAATAATCTTCTATACTCTAAAAACCAGAAAAACCAAGATGACTTCTCCCCTCAGATTTGTGATGATGAAATTTCCAGAAGACAATTGATAATGTAAACTTTTAGATGCTTATTATAACTATTTGCTTCTGCTTTAAATAGAAACAAAAATTAACTTAGTTTCTGGTTCTGAGCATGAATCTCTAGATATAACTCCTGAAAACTGCATAATACATAGTAGGCCCTTGAATATGATTGTTGAATGAATGAACAAAGGAAGGAATATGAGTTCATGTTACAATCAACTTAAAAAAAAACTTGTGTTATGGAGACTTTTTGGGTTGATAATTACTCATCTTTAGAGAAATCAGAAATTTCAGTGGATACTTTTGAACATGAAAAATATTTATCCATCCTTCCATGTGTTGAATAAATTGGTTAATAGACCAAATTGATCCAAATATGCAGTTGAATTTAAGACTATATGGTCTAACGCAAAATGTGTTTTCTTTTACTGGAATGTAGTTGACTGAGGTTGTATCTATCCAAGGTTAACTACCAGGTCATTTAAAAATATTTCTTAATGATAATAGTATTATTTGGTTTCCCTCCAAGTGTCTTATTATAAACCCAGGCTTTCTTGAGGTGACCTATTCTTTGGTGAATATCTAGTGTCTACAGAATATCTCCTTGTGAGAAAAAACCTTCAGCTAGGACTTTGACATTTTTGGGTTTTTGTGGTTTTTTTTTTTTTTTTACTGAAACAGTAGGGCAAGGTAAGGATAAATTATTAAAGGTCATGATTCTATTGATATGCAATTTCTATAAACCATGCTTGTTTCTTCTGTGTTTCTTTGGCCTATTTAGTGCATCAAATACAAGAGAACACAACCAAACAGCTTTTCAAAAAGTAACTCAGAACATATCATCTACTTTTGGTGTGGTCTGTATGTCTTTTCAGTGGTAACTGCCATACTCAGGAGCTAAGTATTGGATGCAATTATATCTTTTGCTTTTTGCTTGTCCATTGGTTGAATAAGCTGCCAGAAAACTGCCATTTAGGCTAAGAGCTACTATCTGTTGCTGAACTAGCTTAAATTGTATTCAGTAAGTGATTATGAATGTCATTACTGAGTTGCTATCCAAAGTCACACACATGCTAATAAAGATGCCTCTAGCATCAATAGGTCAAATGCCAAGAAACAGATCCACAAAAACAAGTTAGTCTGTTGTTACTCTTATGTTGTTGGGCAAGTATGACATCTAAGGTTCAATGAATCCCAAGAAGAGAACTGCTTTCTACTGATCTTGGTAACCTTGTCTCTCCCTTGTTACCCAGCTGACACAGGAGGCCTCATCAGGAGCAGAAACCAAGGCTTGTCCATAAATAGTAACTAGAGCACTTCAACTTTTGCACTCTGAAAAAGGCTGTCCAAAGGAACAGGAAAAGCTCTAGATACATCAGATAGAATGAGGTGGGGAAGGAGGAGAGAAGGTTCCTAGACCATGACAAGTAACCGTCAACCTTCCTTCCATCAAAGGAAGCTTACAGGGCTCTTCCACCTCTCCCTGAGGGAGGGAAAGGAGGAGCCTGGGGTTTCCCGGAAAACTCCAGGTCCGCTTGTTTTCAGAAGCTTTGAGAGGCTCCCTAACCCGTGAGCAGAATCACAAAAATGGCAAGTCTGCAGGAAGTCTGAAGATGAATAGATGCAAACAGGAGGAAAAGTGGGGTGTGATTGATGGAGGGATATAATAAGGCTGGACCAGGGACACTGAGAGCTGCAGATGAAAGTGTGCACTTAAAAAAAAAAAGTGTACATTTGTGGGAGGAAGTTTCCTCTGAGGCTACCTTCCAATGGCAAGGCGTGTGTCCAGTTGGGCCTTGGAGGATGGGCCCGGTTCCTCCGAATGTGCGTGTGAATGTCCTGGGGCAGCTCCTCTCTTCCCTCCCAAGCACCTCCCACGAGCTCAGACCCCAGCAGTGTATCTCTCCCTGGCGCTCTGTGTGGCTGGCCAATGTGAGAAGCCTCCTGAATTCCCTGAAGGAGCTCGGCCCCCCTCGCCGCCCCCTCCACTAATCCTTTGGTGAAGGGAAGAGACCTCCTGGTCTGAGTGCGCCTGTTAGCCTGCGGCCGCCCCTTGCCCCACTTTGAGGGAGAGAGTGATACTGATGGAGGGGCACCACCTCCCCTAATTGCCTGAGCCTCGGGCTGGGAGACGGTGCTGTGGAAGAGACAGGGGCAGAGCGGGTTCCGAGGGCTGCAGGACTCCAAGCTGTAGGCGTCTACCCCTCGCGGGCGCCGAAGCACCCCGTAAAAAAAACAAATTGAGATCACCCCTTTCCCAACCTGTAGCCCCTCCCCTGCTCTCCCATTCCAGGGCTTGGCGACTGCGTCGGCCGACCGTGACCTCGGGTCCCCGAGCTCCGGAGTGCCAGGCTCGGCCGTCCGCAGGATCTTGCCTGAAACTAGGCGCGCCCGGCTTTAGAGCCCGGGGTCTCCCGTTCGTGGGCTGGCTCGGGCTGCTGGCCGCCCCGGGTTCGAGGTGGCCACCGCGAGGCCTGAATTGGCCAGGCCTCGCCGGGGAAAGGATAAAGCCCAGAGGTGACTGCCTCCTCCTCCCCATTGCCCAGCCTGGAGCCGGGGAGTGCTCGAACCTAGGGAAGGTTGGGATCCCCCGCGTTCAACACACACGCACGCGCGAGCACACACGCACACACTGAGACGCGCGCGCGCACACACACACCACGCTTTGCTCTCCTGGCCCGAGCTGGAGAGGGGGCGCTTTGGCAAACTTGGTCGCTCCGCCGGATGACCATATGCGCCCAGAGCCCCCCACCCCACTCTCAATTAAAGATTTTCTCCCCCCACGACTTTTCCGTAAGTGAATCAAAGCAGAACCCAGTCTCCGAGGCAGCCCTGGCTCTTTGGGTAAACTTTTCAAAATGCACCAGGTGGCCCTGGGTCTCCTAACCTTCCTGCCCGCGGGGGTCGCGGCCGCCCTCCCCCGGCTCCGATCGCATGCTGGAGGGCGTCAGGTTTGCGCGCAGACACCCGCGGCTGGGGCGCCTCCGGCCGGACGGCGCTGCCCGGGACCGCGCGACCTGCGGGAAGGGGCGCCTGGCCCTGCGCCGCACTTGCCCAAAACTAGTCCGCCTGATGACAGCGGCCCTGGCGCTTCCACGTTACGAAACCCAAATTAAGAAGTGGGTGAATTGGGGAAGGAGGGAGCCAGGGGAGTTTGCACCCTGTATCTCAGGTATGAGCACTTTTCACTGACATTGATGCAACTGCATTAGAGTTAATGGCAGCAGCCTGCTTCTCATTATTAATTGTCTTTGTGTTTGGATAAAGTATGTAATCTTCTTCTCAACCACACCATTAAAATAGGTTGCCTTTTCAATTAAGAACTGTCGTGAGCACAGCAGTCAATTTTCCTAATGAAGATGCATTATATTTTCACATTTTTTTTAATAAAGGAAAATCCCAGGTTTTCATTAGACGCGATTACGCAGAAATACAAGAGTTTCTCTAAAATATATGCGGCCATGTAGTGCATTAAACGGCAGGCTTTTAAATAAATTGAAATTTCTGCAGATAAAAGGAAATCATGAGTATCAAATGTGTTCAAACCCGCTTCATTCAGATTTCAAAAAGCAAGTACCATGAGTTCATTTTTTAAAACGCATTTAACAGATGTAACAATAAAAACAAGTCAGTGACTGAAAATATGCCTATAAACTTTTGGGGGATCCCTTCTAGTTAGGGATAATTTGCAGATCTTAAACTAAAACAGTGATGTTTGTTGAAAATGCACTGCGTACATTTAGACAATGTACAATCTTTGAACAAATCCCTTAGCCTGATCAGTAAGGGGCAAAAAATGTTTGGGCTGTGTACCTACAATTAGTTTTTGTTTATCTGTTTTCTTCCTTGCTTTCACATTTCTTCTTAAAAAAAAAAAAAAGGAGGTAAAGCTAGTAACTCTAGCAGAACTGCTTAAAATTCTATTCCTTTGTGATAAACAACTTTTCAACTATTGTAAAAAAAAAATTAAATCACAAAATTCTAGTGTTGAAGTTTAAAAACTGATCAGAAATGTTCATTCCTGGATATGAAAATGAAAACTTTGCATCCGTGAGCAAAAATGAAAGGTGTGTATTATTCATTTTCTAATCTTGGGAATTTGGAAGGCTGTAGTGAAAAGGATCTGTCAAGATCTGTGTTTTCTTTGTTAATAAAAAAATTTTAAGTTACTATCTTTTGCATATGAAATACTATTTTAGACAAACAATTCCTCTCTTTTTCTCTCCCCATTCAATGTGAATACTCTCCTAGGAGCTACATTACAGAATAGTGTTTGAGAAAAATATAAGTCAAATTCTTAAGTCAAATAGAAGAAAAAAGTTCCCTACAACAGCCAGACTTTTTTTTTCTTTGTAAGACGACATCAGTTGGTTATTTTGCAGACATGATCTTTTCCAGGTTTTAGGTGTTATGTCTTTTAAAACTTGAACTCTTAAAAAAAAAAAAAAATCAACCAGCTCCTTAAAATGATCTGCAAAGAGTGGGAAATTAGATTTTCGATTAAAACCTTATCCCATCTCGAAGGATTACTTTATATTGATTCTTAAATATGGCTACAATTGATGGGCTCTAATTAAAAATCCAAAGGAAAAGTCTGTCGTGCCCATATAAAAGAAGCTTTTCATATACGGGAAATAAAGCTTGTAAAAGGTTACAAATAAAAGATTAGAGATTTATCCAAACTAGTTTAAAGCTTCACTGCGGTTTTCTTTTCTTCTTTTTTTCCTTTCTTACAAAACCATTCTCGGGTCTTTTTTCCCCCAGTTTTAAATGAAGTTTGCAAACAGGCAAGATATTGCACTGTAATGGTTGTTTTATATCAGCTCTGTAAGCTCAAGGCTGCTGCCCACAGTAGAATTGACTTCAAGGAAACTTCAGGACCAAGAGATGAAAATTATATAAACTGACAGCTAGCACCCTTCAACAATCCATCCACATTCCCTTCCACACTCTCCTAACACACACCCAAACCCACACTCACACCCCTCACACTGCTCTCCGTCTCTCACAATCACATGCCCTTCCTATCCCCCACCCTAACCTTGCTCTGCACACACCCTTGGTCCCCACATGCTCAGGGACAGACGCATAGCTCCCAGCTCACACTCAGCTCATAAATGTCTCACAGCCCCACATCTCGCACTTGTCACACAATCTTAATCCGTTTCATTCCGGAACAACATGGTCCTCCTTTTTTTTTTTTTTTTTTTTGCATTTGGAATTTGCCTCCGACTCTTTTATCAGGACAGCACAATCCTATCTTTGATGTCGTTTCTTTCCCCCTTACCCTCTTTTCTGAGGCTACAGCAATACAGGGAATAAGCGACCCAAGCTTAATTCATAAGTGATCTGTCACCTATTTCCCCTCCAATTCTGCCTGCATCACCAATATTTAACTCTTGTTAAAAAAATTAAAGTTAATCTTGTCAAAGTTTTTAATAGAGACATATTTTTAAACCTAATGAAAAATGACTTCTTTCTAAATATCATGGCAGTTTTAACGCTAGATGTGGTCCTCCACTGTCCACTGAATCACTGAAAAGATTGGAAATTAATCTTTATATTTCTGAAGTAAGTGTACAAGGAGTCTAACTGGCTCCTTTCCCCCTGAGAGGCTGTGTTCTCACGGAATATGGGTTTTGTTCTTCATCTTCTTTTTTAATTAGCCTGAAAGAATTCTGAGATCTCTCTCCTTTCTCCTCCCACTCCTCCACTCCCCACCCCCACCACACCACCATACTTAATAAACTTGGAGGAAAGTTTGGAATATTTTAAACTGCCCTGGCATGTGGGGTGGAGAATATAAGCCCAGCTAGCACCAGACATGCATCTAGATTTTGAAATATGAATATCAGCCATATTTTGGAAACTGCATGCAAGCTCTGACAAATAATTTGATTCCCTATGTATTGGTTTTCTTAATTTAGCTTCTGAATGCTTACATCTCATTTTTATAGCAAGATAATTGTACTCATGGCAATTAAAAACCAGGCACTTGTTTATGAAAATTACTTAAAAACATAAAGCATGTTACTATAAATCAAATTCTTAGGGAAAAAAAACTTAAAGACAGAGGACACAGGGAAAAAAAGTTAAACATGAATAGAGAAAATAAAATGACCATGTAGTAAGTACATTGGAAGCTCAAGGACTTACAGAAAATCAAGTTAGACTTTTCATCCAAGGAGTCTTTTTCTCCCACCAAGTGTCTAAGTAGTTTTCCGTACAACAGCCCAGCAACCCCCGCCCCCCAAAGCTAGTGGCTTTTGTCCTGACCTAGAGTAGGTTTTGTGGGGACTGTACCTGAGCCCGGCTGTCTGCAACTTCCAAATTGACAAGAAGAGACTGGAAGATAAAAAGCATGTTCTTACAGGTGAAGAGCAATTTTGCGACTTTTCCAGGAAGCACCCAGGAGAAACCTTGCTTGCTCCAACTGCTGCAGAGTCTGGGCAGAATTCCTCTAGAAAGAAAAAAGAAAGTCTTTTTTTCCCCCCCTGTCTGCCTCTCTCTGTCTAGTTCTCTTTCTCCTCTCTGTCTCTCTCTCTCTCTGTCTCTCTCTCAGATCCAATCTTTTAAGAGCTTCAGCACATTGCTAAGCTAAAGGGAAATTCTCTTTGATAAAGCGGCGTTTCCAGCTTCTGGGTTTTAAAACCTAAATCTATATTCAAATCTGGCTGAAGGTGTGTTCTGGGATTTATGAAAGCCTCTTAAAGGGGTAAATTTACCAAACCGTGACAAAATCATCACAATCTTACTTTAGACATCTGAAGTGGATGAGAATTTTAAAGAGACCCTTGTTTATTTAACACTGTCCATTTCCAACTCGTAGTTTATTGGCCCCGCATTTCTGCGAAGTTATTAGACGAGAGGGCAAGGGAGAAGCGGGAGCGGTCTGCTCCAGGCCGCTGGACAGGGAAAAGCCCTTCCACGCCCCCGAGGCACGGAAATCTGCCCCCATCGCCCAGAACCCGGGGATTTTTCGGGAGATTCGGCTGCCCCAGCCATCAGAGAAGACGTCGGGCCGGAAGGGTTTTTCCCACGGCTCGGGATCCCACTGCAGATAGATCTCTCATTCTAAAAATTTTCACTCACTTTGTGGAGATCACAAGAGCGCGTTCTGATAATTCTCCACCCCACCCTGCCCCCGCTGCCCCCAAGGCCTCCCTCCCGGCCCTTTCCATCCGCCAGAACCACAACGTCCATTTTTCTTTTTCGTTCTTTGATGCTTTAAATCTCATTGTGATCAAACTGGGGGAAACCCTGTTCTTCTCTGGGGGTAGGTAGGAGACTCTGGTTCAGGGGATCGGGGTGGCTTTGCCCTTCCCTCATCGAAAGCAAGGTGACCCTGGTCTAGGGTTCCCAACCTACGCCGCACCCGCCAGACCGCCTGGGGCGTTTCCCCCCACCCTCAATTAAAGGCTCCGGGCAGTGGTCAGGCACTTTAGTACAGTGGGGGCGGGGTGAGAAAAAAAGCTCCGTACTCACCCTCCCCCCAGCCCGGGCCCCCTGAGAGTCTCGACTCCTGGGAACGCGACAGTCACCGGGTCTCTTCGGACTGGAGCGCTCGCGGAGGGCCCAGGAGGAGATGGGCAGACCCCGGGCCGCTCGAGGGCTCGTGGGGGACCCGGGGCCCAAAGCTCTAGAGACACCTGCCAGCCCGGCCGCGGCCGCCGAGTGCCCAGCCCCGGGCCGAGCCCGAGCTGGAGCCCAGCCGTGCTGCCGAGCGCCGGCTGCCTCATGCGCACTCCGGTAATTCGTTAATTGCTGTAAATCCCAAGGACGTCCACATTTGATTACACATACAGTATAAGAACCGACAACAAAGCGACGAATTAATTACCAACTTCATTAACATAGGTCCCCAAATTAAAAGCAGCGAGCCGTTTCTTTGGGCCCACTTGCCGTGGTGCCGTGGTTGGAGGGGGGAGGGTGTTTAGGAAGAGATTTTATATTTCTTTTCCAGCTTTGGGATTTGTAAGGCAGGACTGTTTTCTGCTCTCCACCCCCACCCCACCCAGCCATTCACACATCCTCAGCCGGTCCACTTGGACCCCCCAACCCCACCCCACCCCGCCCAATCAGTTTCTGCTTTTCTGGGGACTCAGATCTATTTGCCAGCGGTCGGGCCCCGCTCTCTGTGCCAGGCGGAAAAGTTGGGCTGAGGTTCGCTCTCTCCCGTTCGGTCCCCGGGTCCAGAAACTCTCTACCCTCGGGGTTCCCAGTCCCCGGCTCGGGCCGCGCGGGCTCAGGTTAGGTCCAGGCCCCGCCACGGCTAGCGTTGGAGTGGCGCTTGTTCTAACGCAGAAACTCTTGATTGTTTCCAGCGCGGGCTTCCCACGTTTGCTCCCTCCCCGGGTATCCTGCCGACCCCACTCTCACACCCTCGAGTCCTGACCCGGCTCTTGCTGCCTCCCCAACCGGCCCTGGGGTTAGATTCCGGGATTCATGTTCTTTGGAGGCTGCCTTGGGCTTCTTAAAACTGTAAAAACCCTGCGCGAAAACCAGGAGCCCGGGTCTTTTGCTTGAGGTGCCGAGAGATGTTTATAGGGACATAAAGAGTGAGAAAGACACTTGAGTTTTTAAAAAATAGTTTGTTCTTGGACTTGTGTATCTGCATCTCTCTTGCCTACACATCCACGCCTCACCCCCAGGCCTCCTTTCTGTACCCTTCCCGGTCCCCTCGGTGTGATCTGACCCTGTTTGAGACCACATAGTGGTGTTTTTAACCTTCAGTCTCAGTAGCTTTCTGCGTCTGTTCTACACACCTATTGCTAGCGTGGAATGTGATAACCAGCTATCCCCTACCCTCACTCTCCTCCATCCTTGTCTTAAATATTTTTTAATCTTCCCATCTTAGGGTGTATGGGTTTCCTTTCTCCCTTTCCTTAAAACAAAAGCAAAAACAAAAGGGAGGGGGAGGAAAGGAAGAACAAGAGAAGAAAAAGAGAGGCCTCGCTGTCCATCATTTTAATTATACAATAAGTTCACATGCTCCAGCCGTAATGTATATTTTAGGCAAAGCCCAGTGTCTTTCAAGAACATTCTGGTAATGTCGGAGGCCTGGATTTGTTGCCTGCTCGTCCCCCCGTGCAGCAGCGGCCTGTTTTCCTCCCCCTGTTGTGTGTTTTTATTATTTTCCCTCTGGCTTAGATGTGTCAATCATTCTCTCCCTGCCATTGGTTGGAGAGTTTGCGTCAAAAAGTTGCCAGAGAGGCGCTTTCTCAGCAAATCTCCCTGAGAGCGGAACCGACCTCAGCTCCAACTCAGCCTCCACTGTTATTAAAAATAAAAATCGCTAGAGAAGCCCTCCTCAAGTCTACTTTGTATGTATCGCAGAGGGGCCCACGCGCGTCTCGAACTTGAGCGACTTTCCTCGTTTTCTTTTCTTTAGGAAAATATTTTTCGTTGTTTGACTTTTTATGGAACGACGAAGATTACAAGATATCTAACGCAATACTCTTGATTTCTTTTAGGATAGCTGGCTATTTGGAATTTTGAAGGATAATTTGATTTTTTTCCCTCTAACCCCCCATGTGGCTGTGAGGTAAGTGTCTGTCTTGTCTGTCTGTCTATATCCATATTTGTGTGTCCCGCTGTCTACCACCACCCCCACTACCTCTAATATTAAGACCCACTGGTGCACCTTTGAGAACGTGGAGTTTTCTAAAGCCTGGTTTATTTTCTTCCCTTTGCAAAATTCTGAGGTGCAGTAACGATCACTGAGGAAAATTTATGATCTGGGGATAAGGACGAGAGTGGGAGGTAGGGAGGGAGCGCGCTCCTGCGGTCGGTGCTTTAGCAGAACATCGTGGAAACCCTGCGAATCCGATGTGGGGTGTTTTGGAGGGGTGTTGTTTGTGGTTTTATGTCAACGCCCATTCTGGGCTTCTCCCTGCGATCTTTGCGTTTTGGCCATCAGATGTGTTTGGGGTCATTTGGATTGATCACAAGGACGTTTTAAGAATCCGAGACAAAAAGACGCAGATGTAGCTAGATGAATGGATGGATGGATGGACGGATGGTGGTAATGATGATAATTTGGGCGCCTCCCAGGGCCCGCGTGCCCAAAGCCCTGCTCGCCCGCGGGTCGGCGGGAACCGGTGGGCGCCCTTCGAGCCCCTGCCCGTCCCATATGAACGTGAGAGGATAACCGAGCAGGAAGGGAGCGCCGGCATCTCGTCCGCCCCGCGCTCGCCGCTCACTCTTTTCGGCCCCCTCACTCCCGGCCAGGAGAAGCTCACTAAGGTTCTCAGCCTCTTCCAGAGGGCCTCCAAATCGCCTTTTTCTTTTTGATCACCATTTTCCCCACCTCCGGGGAGGAAAAAAAAAAAACACCCGGCATTGCCATAATCCCCCTTGGCTGTTGTGTGTTGTGGTTCTAGACCCAGCGAGTGCGCCAGAGTCGTTTTACAACGTGACTGCGGGGGCCGGTTCCGGGCCCGCCCCGCGCAGCCTTCCTCGCGCACCTGGGGCGGGCAGAAGTGGCGGCTAGTGGCCCCTGCTCCGCCGGAGGCCGAGCAGAGCCGAGGACTGCAGTCCTTCCGGTGGGAAGGCTGCCCCTCGGTAGCTCTCGGACAGGGCCAGCGGCCGGGCCTGCGGCGCGCTCCTCTCCCAGGCTCAGGGACCCCCGGCCGTCGCGGGCCGGGTCGCGCTGGGACAAGCGGGGCGCAGAGGCCCAGCCTCCAATCTCGGTCTGCCCGGGGACAACCAACAGAAGGCCTCAGCCAGCACCCAGTTTCGGCGACGAGTCGCGCCGCAAATTCCTAAGAAGACTTCGTGTTGAGGCGTTCAAGTGACTCTTGAAATCATAGTCTGGTTTCAGGATACAATTTTTGAAACACAAGCCCCCCTTCAGAATTCCGCCCAGTCGGCTTTTTCCTCCTTTTCAGAGCGAAGTGGGGCGTGGGGACCGAAGGCCGAGCTGCGTTGCCCCTGAAGTGGTGGATTGCTTGGGGAGGTCATTCCTGGAAATTCTCCCTCCATCCCAGAGCTTCGGGGCCAGGGTTTCTCCTGCCCGCCTCGGGACTCTTCCCGTCTCCAAAGTTATTAGCAAAAGAGAGGAGGTGAAGAGGAAACTCCTCCCCCGCCAAAGGCAGGTAGACACCCAGACCTCCGCTCTCAGAGCCCACATCAGGGCTTTCTCCTGGCCATAATTAATAGTCAAGGCCAACCCTTTGGGCACGTTTCTTCCTCCCTCCCTCGCGGGTGGCAGCGTCGTTCGATTCCCTGAGGCCAGAAACTTTCACTCCAGTTCGCCGGAGGGAGGCCCGCGCCGGCTGTTTCCCGCGCGGCCCGCAAATCCCCTTTTCTTTCTCTCTCCTGTTCCTCTTGGTCGTCTTCCGAGCCGCAGGCCGGTCGCCAGTCCGCGTAGTTTTGTTTCCTTTCCATCATGCAGAAAATTAATCAGCCCGGACGAGAAGCAGAGCTGAGCCCGGCGGCCTGTAATTAAGGGACGTGTGCCCTTCGGATTATCTCGTTAGTTTATCAAGAAAACATTTATTATAATTAATTCTCGGACGAGGTAATTATTATTGAGCGAGGACACAGCAACTGGTAGATGGGCTCCTTGGAAGATGGGGGAAAAAAAAAAGAGGGGGGAGGTGGGAGGGGGAGCGACAGATTGCACGAATTGACCGTTAGATATAAGGCGGTGCGGCCCGGGGCGGGCAGTGGGGCGGGAGGACCTCGGGCGCCGAGGCTGCGGGGCTGCGGGGCAGGGACGCCGCCGGACCGAGTCAGTCGCGCCCGGAGGTGTGGGCGCCGAGCGGCTGCGGGGACTCGCCGCGCGGCCGCCGCCCGCTCCTTCTCTAGGTAGGAGTTCTCCAGGGGCCACCTCCTGAGCAGTTGTTTTGAGGTTTGTATTTTTGAAAAGGGATTTCTTTTTCCCCTTCCGGCCTCTGCTTAGAGAGGAAGGGAGAAAGGCGTCCTGGCAGGGCTTTGAAAGTTAGATGGAAGGGTCCGAGGCCTCGTCTTTGGAGAGCACGTACCTAGGCTGGCTGTCGAGAACACGTCGTAGTTTTTGTTTTGTTCCTTTTTCTTTTAAAGATGTATCCCGTAGTAAAGT